TGTGTGTGTCGTGCGTGTCATGTGTGTGTGTCGTGTGTGTCGTGTGTGTCGTGTGTGTCGTGTGTGTGTCGTGGGTGTGTGTCGTGTGTGCCGTGCGTGTCGTGCGCGTCGTGCGTGCCACGTGTGCCGCGTGTGTCATGTGTGTCGTCTGTGTGGGCCGTGTGTGTCCTGTATGTGCCGTGTGTCGTGTGCGTGTGCCGTGTGTGTCGTGTGTGCCGTGTGTGTCGTGTGTGTGTGTCGTGTGTGTCCTATGTGTCATGTGTGCGTCATGTGTGCGTCGTGTGTGTCGTGTGTGTGTCGTGTGTGTCGTGTGTGTCGTGTGTGTCGTGTGTGTCGTGTGTCGTGTGTGTCGTGGGTGTGTGTCGTGTGTGCCGTGCGTGTCGTGCGCGTCGTGCGTGCCACGTGTGCCGCGTGTGTCATGTGTGTCGTGTGTGCCGTGTGTCGTGTGTGCCGTGTGTGTTGTGTGGGTCGTGTGTGTGTCGCGTGTGTCATGTGTGTATCATGTGTGTCGTGTGGGCCGTGTGCGTCGTGTGTGTCGTGTGTGTGTAGTGTGTGTCGTGTGTGTCGTGTGTGTGTGTCGTGTGTGTCGTGTGTGTCGTGTGCGTCGTGTGTGTTTATGTGTGTGTCGTGCGTATCGTGCGTATCGTGTGTGAGCCGTGTGCGTCGCGTGTGTCGTGTGCGCCGTGTGCGTCGTGTGCGTCGTGTGCGTCGTGTGCGTCGTGTGCGTCGTGTGCGTGTGCATGTGCGTAAGCGTGTGCGTGTGCGTGTGCGTGAGTGTCGTGCGTGTGCGTGTGCGTGCGTGTGTTTGAATATTGCCCTATCCGCCATTATTTCTATCTGGCATGCGCGTGTTGTTGCCGTAGGGTCTCGCGCCCCCCGCCTCCGCTTGCGGAGCGGAGGGGCAACGATGGGGGGACTGGCGTAAGGGGAGAACCATCGACCTGGAATCGGCGATACATCGCCGATAGATCGGCGATAGGGCCGCCATAGTGAATCCGCACGCTCCTGGGCAGGTTGGGGCTAGCGGGCCCCTACCGGCAATCAATAGGCGATTGGGGGTCGATGCATCCCCCCTTTACCAATTCCCCCCATATCGCTCCCCCCTGTGCCTGCTTCCCCCTATCTACCCCTATGCCTTTTCGCCCCTGTGCCTCCATAGGCTCCTCGACCAGACTCGACCTGACTTGCCCCTGACGCCTCTTCAGAGCACCCGCGCCCCCCGCGCCACGCACCACGGTGAGCGCGAGGGGCGCTCGGGGCGGCCGCGGGCGGAGGGCGGCGCCGCTCCTGCTCGCACTGCTTCGCCCGGCCGAGGTCCATGATCAGCTTGACGTACTTCTGGCAGGCGGGGTGCCCTGAGGGGAGGGGCCGTCTGGCGCCAGCAAACCTGGGTCTCGTGGGACCCATCTCGGCGATGTGTGCCCGGGGACGCCCCCCTCCCCCCCCCCCCGACCCGTTCCACGAACCGGAACTGCCGCCACCCGAAGAGGCATCAGCTCCAGCGGACCTCGTTGAGTGAGCATGGTTCATCCTTGGGGCGTCGGGACCCAATCACTAAACGGCTCCCTTCACCCAGGGTCCTGGCTGTACCCGTGGGAGGAGGGACGGCGCAGGCGCGGATGGGGGGCCGCCGCCGCCTCCTCCTCCTCCTCCTCCTCCTCCTCCTCCTCCTCCTCCTCCTCCTCCTCCTCCTCCTCCTACCCCTCCTCCTCCTCCTCCCCCCCCTCCTCCTCCTCCTCCTCCTCCTCCTCCTCCTCCTCCTCCTCCACCCGAATTCCTTATGAACGATTATCAGCGACCCCTCTGAAACAAAGCCTGGATCGGGAAACGGTCGGATCGGGATAAATGACTCGTAGAGCTTCCCTAAGAGCGTTAGCGGCGAAGCTAGAAGAGTAATTCCGGCGCGCTGGGGGGCTAGTTGGCAAAAAGTCCGCCGCCTGTTGAACGATACGGATAAGCATGGGAAGGGCAGGAGAGAAGGGGAGGAGAGGAGGGGAGGAGGGGAGGGCAGGACAAGAGGGGAGGAGAGGAGGGGAGGGGATGAAGAGATCTTCAAACTCATAAATTGTCCTGTTTCCTTGACCCTTGCCCTCGTGCTCCCTTGACCTCTGACGAAATAAATGTGTATATATACACACAAACCTGTGCATACATCTATACTATAGTATGATGTGATATAACGTAATGTGCCAGCGCAAAACATCTTATGACATAGCATAACCAAGTATGTAATGGTCTATACCCTGATATGATATAACAATAACGCAATATGATACAATATGATGTGATATAGTAAATACGACCTGCTAGAATACGCATCTACATAGTATCATATGTCATAAACAATAAGATACACGATAGAACGATATAACACTGTAAAAAATGACATTGCATGCTGTGCTACAATGCAATACAACATAGCATCATATAACACAGCAGTATGATAAATTATGGCGCCATACAATATAAGGTGTAAACTAAAATAGTCATGCTAGTATATGGTATATGACAATTATTACAATATATAACATTATTCAGTAGTGTCTTGCTACATACAAATACACCATATAATGTAGTATGATGTCACGTAACATGATACAACAGTGCAGTGTTTTATGCATGAAACATAGAACAACTGTATGGTAACATCGCATGATATAGGAGGTACTACCATGTAGAAGAATGGATCATCATATAGTATAAGGTAGTGCAATGTATGTATTGTGATGTAATGTAAGGTACTTACATTGAAAAATAGTATATAATATACCAGGATGTACCGAAAATCATTGCAATGTAATATGATATACTGCATTTCAGTGTTATGCCATATACTGGAAATATCATAGAATCGAATACACTAACATGTAATATAATATTATAAATTTGTGTGTGAGTGCATTTTGGATGCCTTCCACGGGGCACTCGTCGCCGCGGCTGGATTCGCCTCGAGATCCTGGTCGGAGCGCGTTACGTGGGAGCTACGAGGGTCGGCGCGGAGGCTCGAAAGGATGAGCACTTCTGTCGCCGACGACCTCATCACAGCGCACAATTTTCCCAGCTCAACCTTGCCACTTCGCCCTGACAGAGCACCGGTGACTGCTATTCTTCGCAAGACCCCCCCGCGCCTCGGCTGAGCTTCGGGGCACCGTCGCGCAGCACGACCGCAGCGGCGTCTCCTGTCACACGTCTGCAGCGGCATTCCTCCTTCGTGCCCTTCACTCGCCGATTCGATCTTGCCCTCGGTCCGCTCGGCGCGCTCTGCCCGCCGTCCGACTTTCCCTCGTCCTGTCTCTCCGCACACTCGCAGATCCGATTGCTTGGACGCGGGTGGCGCGCTGAGGACCCAGTGCCCAGGACGTCCCCCGCCCAGGACGACCGCAAAAGAAAAACCGGGGGGGCTTCCTGGAGACCCCCCCACGAGGGCCCCCCAAGGCACGAAGGCCGAAGGCCGACCGTCCGCTGCTCACATGCGGTTTTTATCCAGATGCGCTCGGGGCCTGCTGACCCTTCAGAGAGTGGGGCGGGTGGTAATCCGCGGTGCTCCAAAAGGAGCCGTACAGGGCCCCTTTAGGGGCCTTTTCTTCACTCCACTCCCCATGTGGGCCACCCCCCATCACCACCCGCCCGGGAGAGCTTCTTTCACGAGCGGCGAAAGTATCCGTATCAACGCCCTGGCGGTCTGGATTCCAGGGCGCGATCCCGCGGACACGCGGCCGCAAAGACGCCCCGGATCCGCTAGGCCGCGGCCCAGGGGCCCGGCCTGCGAGGCCGTGGATACATGTTTGTCGACCACGTCTCTTGGCCCTTCGAGAACGTTTCCACAATCCCTTCGGCGTCTGTCAGACTGAAAGCCCCATCGGCTATCCGGACTCAGATCGCATCAAAGTCCGCCAAGGCGGCCCAAGACGGCCTCCACGACGGCCCAAGAGGGTCGCAAGAGAACCCCAAGACGGCACAAGGCAGTCCTTGGATGACAAGGCCCCGAGACGCCCCAAGATGGCTTCAACACGGCTCAAGGGGGCCCCAAGAGAAGCCCCCGGAGGAAACCCAACACGGCCACAAGAGGCCCCTAAAAGAAGGGCCCAAGGCAGCCCTCAAGAGCCCGAAGAGGGGCCCAAGAAGGCCTAGAGAGCCCCAAGATGGCCACTGAAGGCACCAGACGGACCAAAAGTGCCCTAAGACCGCCCAACCAAGCCCCAAGATTGTCCAAGCAGGACCCAGGAGGCCCCCAAGAAGTCCCAAAGACATGAAAAGAGTTCCGAAAAGACCTCAGAGGCCCTCATTCACAAGGTTCCCCCCCGTGGTCTCCCCAACGGCTGTGGGAACACGCAGTGCACTAGCGCGGCCGCACTTCCGCTCGACACTTTACGGCACAGGCGCTCCCGCAGTAGGCGCCTTCGGTGAGCCCAACGGCCCTCTGGGCGTACGTGGGTGGCTCAGCGAGGCCACGTTTCCAATCCCCTTCCTTCCCCCCTTCGGGGAGGGATCGGCAGCACCCCTTCTCGATCCCACCAGCCCATCAGCCCCACCAGCCACTCGGGCCTGAGGTGGCCCAGGGCGTCCCTTCTTCCAGCCTCCGCACGCAGCTCCTCGGGGACCCTTGCGCCCTTGCACCTCGCCGCACACCCCCTGCAGCGAGAGCCCCATGCAGAGGCCCTGCCGTCCCATGCCGAGCACCGAGCAAGCGCCCTGCAAAGACGCTGCAGTGCCCTGCCCACGCCCTTTTTTTTTGTGTTTCTCCTCCGCCTCGGCCAGCCCCTCAGCGCGGTGGTCCAGTCGAAGCCGTCGGCGAACTTCCGCCTCGTCTCCTGCGCCGCAAACCTGTGCTCGCCCTTTATCGCGGTAGGCACGGTCGAGAACAGTGAGCTCGCAGCGCCCTGCCCGCGCCCTGCACCCTGCCCCCCTGGGTCTGGACGGGGGGGGGGCGGGGCGGGCGGGCGGAGCGCCCAAGCGCGGCGCGGGGCGGCTCCGGGAGGGCTCCGCACGGGGGGCCCGGCGCGAGAGAGGTGGCGTGGAGCTTCGGGGGGGGGGGGGGCCATTGGAAAGACGAAGACAAACAAACGCATCCCCTGAGAGTGCTCCAGATTTCGTAATAAAGGGAGGGGGGTCTCTTTTCGGGGGGGGGTCTCTTCCAGGCTATCTTGGAGGGCCTGGGGGGTCTGGGGACGATGTTTTGGAGGGTTCTCCCACAGGGGAGGTCTGAAATGGCTTGTCTTGGAGGGTCCAGACCCCCTCCTTTTTATTACGAAATCTGGAGTGGGCGCTTGGGTGGGGGAGGGAGGAGGGAGGGGAGCTCGGGGGGGGGGCGGGGGGGCAACCTCCGCAAAATTCGACCAACCATACCATGTTGGAGCCCTCCAGAGAAAAAAAAAACCTTAACCCCCTCAAAAACACCCCAACCCACCCCCAGTGAAAAAACACAACTCATGGGGCGTTGTTGACAGGGTTCGGGAGGGCCCATGCCGCACTTCCAAAATGCCCAATGGCACAAAACACCCCTGTAAAAAAAGAAACAGCCTTGAGAGGTTTTGGGAGGTCAGGGAGCCCCCCAAAACAATGTTACAAACACCGTCTTCCCCCAGAACCCCCCCCTCCCAGAAAAAAAGGCATCTCAAGGGGAAGTTTCGAGACAAAGGATTACGGCACCCATCGCCTTTCGGATAGTGTTTTCGACTTTACTTCGCCAAGTTGTGGCATCCTTCACACTCCTCCTCTTCCTACCCCTCCTTTTCCTCCTCCTCTTCCTCCTCCTCCTCCTCCTCATCCTCCCCCTCCTCTTCCTCCTCCCCCGTCCTCTTTCTTCTCCGCCAACGCGACTCTCCTCCACCCCCCTCCTTTTTGTTGATCCTCCCCTCAGGGGAAAAAGAACAATAACACAACCAATCAAACTATTGTTCTGTTCAGGTTTGGGGCAGGAGAAGCAGGAGCAGGAGGATGATGTTCCCTCACCGTAGCCATTTTCGCTCCAGGGGCCTGCTCCTGAACTTCCCAACCTCGCTCAAGTGCGGCCAGCAGTGAGGGCCGTTTTGGCCTCCAACCCAGTCTCCTCGCACCGCCTCTGATGGCGGGCTGGGCTCGCTCGCGCGGCCGCAAGCAGCAGCAGCAGCAGCAGCAGCAGCAGCAGCGCGAGGGCCGCCGTGGTGCATGGTCATGGAACTGGTCGAGCTGGTCGAACGCGAACGCGCGAAGAGCCAGGAGACGCAGCAGCGGAACCAGCAGCACCTCGCGCGCGACACGTGGCGGCAGGTGGACGTTGCCCTCGCGGGCGTACGGGGACCCGCTGTGCCGATGCGGGAGCAGCCTGCCCTCCGACAGCCATGAGCAGCAGCCCGACGGCAGCTCCGAGGACCCGCGCCGCCGGCGCATCCTCCAGGGGCCCCAGGGGCTGCTGGGCCCCCCGCAGCTGGAGGCCTTCAAAAGGCAGTACAGTCGGGGCGTTGACCCAAGGAACCCCAAATAAGGAACGATGCCCCTTTTTACCATAAGTTGAACTTCGATTTCCCATCGGAAACATAAGAAAAACTTGAGGCAAGCTGTGAAACAATTAAGGAACACGGAGCCCCTTCCCAACGAAAAGGGTTCCTCCTTCAGGGACCCGACTGTACGTCGCCGCGGGGGACGGCGGCACCAACGACGTGGAGACGGTGGGCTCGGGGCCGCTCCTCCCCCAGCGAGCCGGGCTCGCGGAGAGGGCCACGCAGAGGGCCTCCCGGTACGGAGAGGAGTGCCGGCAACGTGTCGAGCAGCTGCGCGACGAACTGCAGCAGGCGGAGGATGCCCTCGGAGCGGCCTTCGTTCAGCAGACCGCTGCCAAGGAGGAGGCGGCCGCCAAGTCCAGGCAGTGGGCAGCCTCAGTTCGGCCCGAGGGGGGGGCGAGGCAACCACGGGCGCCCCTGGCGCCAGCAGTCCATCCGCCGCTGACGCCGTGGAGCGCGAAGGCAGCAGCCACGGGCAAGGCGGGCCAGAAGGCCTTCGCCCAGTTCCTCGCAGCCCACCCCGCCGTCGCGGGGCACCTCGGCCCCCCAGGCGCCGCCGCCCCAGCCGCCCCTGCAGCGGCAGCCACAGCCGCCGCCCCAGGGAGGGGGGGGGGGGCACCCAGGGACCCGCCGCCACCCGATGGGGCCGCCGCCGCAGCACCACGACCACCCACTCTGCCCCATCTGCTTATCCGCCGCCACGCCCACTGGCACGTGGAAGCGTGACAGAATGCCGCACGTTGCGCGGCAAGGTTCCTGTCGACATTGTCAGGGTCCCGCCCCCCACTGCCCCAGGGCACACCCAGCCGCATGCACCACCACAACCTTCCGAAGGCTCCCTGGGCGGCCCTCACGCCGCCCTGGCGCTCTCCAAGGCTATCCGAGGCTGCTTCCAAGACGGCCAAGAAAGGCTGCCAAGATGGCCAAACGGTGACTCAAGAGGGCCCGAGACAGCCCAAGAGGGCCCCAAGATGGCCGAAGACGGCCAGCCAAGAGGCTCCCATGTCATCCCCAGGAGACTCCCCAAACGGACGAGAGGGTCCAAGAGGCTCCCGTGCCATCCCCAAGAAACTCCCCAAACGGACGAGGGGGTCCAAGGCGGCACAAATGCAGCCGAATTGGGCCCCAAAGACGAACCGGGATGGTCCGAAGAGCGCCCCCAGAGAGCCGCGCGTGAGCTCGTGTCAATCCCAGCACGGCCAGAGCAGACCCCGCTTGAGCCGCTCAACGAGAAGAGACGGGAGGAGCAGCGCGTCACGGCCTTCTGGGCGGTGCACGAGGCGTCGGCACTTTGAGTGCTGCGCTGGTACGATGGCGGGCGGGACTCGGCGCGGGCAGCAGATGATTACGCGTGCGTCTGCGCCCTCTCACGATGTACACCCCCCGCGCATAGGGCAACAACCGCTCGAAACGGCTACATCCTCATCCTCTGCTTCGCTCGTGCATCCACCCACTCCATGGCTGGAGAAGAAAGAAGGAGCAGGACAGGCAGGCGCCGAATGATCCGAATCTCGACTGTCAAGACACGACTGCTCGCAAAAATGCGCCGCGGAGGTCGGTCGCAGATCTTGCAGCGGGCGGCGCCGCTCCTGCCAGCGAAGGACCGCAGCGGTGCTGGGCCTGCGCCCCCTTGGGATCCTCGGCTCGGGGCCCGCGCGACAACGGCGACGACGAAGACGAAGACGACGACGGCGGCGGCGGCGGCAACGCAGCGACGACGCCTGCAAAGGCGCAGGCGGAGGCAGAGGAGAGGAGTCCTCCCTCCTCCTCCTCCTCCTCCTCCTCCTCCTCCTCCTCCTCCTCCTCCTCCTCCTCCTCCTCATCCTCCTCCTCCTCCTCCTCTCCTCCTCCTCCTCCTCTCCTCCTCCTCCTCCTCCTCCTCCTCCTCCTCCTCCTCCTCCTCCTCCTCCTCCCTTCCTCTCTCCCAAGTTCCGGGCCAGACCGATTTGAGTTGAACGCCTCTCCGGTTACTGTTTCTATGAGCCTGCCGATGCGTCACGCAAAGGCATTTATTATCCCACGGGAGATCACTTTCCCACGGGAGATCAGTCTGCCCTCGGAACTTGATAGAAACATGCAGATCTCAGTTCGTTGCCTGAACTAACAAAGGTATATCCTTGTGGCCCTACTCTCATCCCCTCCGCTCCGCCTCCCTCCTTACACTGGACTGAATGAATCCTGGCCCCACGCAGCACGGTGCGCGCATTCGCCCTATTACTGAGGGAGTGGGGGGGAATCATAGCCAAGGGGGTAGGGGGAGGGATCTTACGAGGTTCTCCGCCGATCAGGGCGGACATAAGTACTACTGCAGTTGCTTCCGATAATATTCTCTACCTTGTGGTTCCACGGAGGGCCCTCTACGGCGCTATGGTTCTCGCGTTCCCTGGTGCCGAGTCGATCCTATCCACTCCCTCCCTCCTCCGTGCCTCCATCTGCCTCCTCCCTCTCTCTCCTCCACCTCCTCGTCTACCCCCCCCCTTCTTCCTCCTCAACATCTGTTATTTAGGCCTGTCGCACCACCAGACGTGTACGTAGGCTGGCCACGGCGTTTCGTTTAAGACGCCCTCGCAAATTACTTCCCCGAAGCTTAAAACTTCCAACAGTTACACTGAAGGCCAAGTCCTTTTTCAAAATTGGATTCCCGCCTTCGCGCCACGCGCGCTCGTCCAAAAAGCTTACAACAGCTCCACGCACGGGTGCAGAGACCAGCTCCTTTTCAAAATGTGGTTTCCGCCTTAGTGCCGCAAGCATTCCACTTAAGAGCTTGCAACAGATTCCTCTTCAAAATGGAGCTCTCGGCTGAGACTTCCTCCGAAAGTACCACCAAGTGTAGCAGTTACACGAAAGGAGGCACGGATGGAAGGGGGGCTCCTCTTAAAAATGGGATAGTTCCCCCTTCGCAGCGCCACTCGTCTCAAAAGCTTGCAACAGTTACACGGATAGAGGCAGCGTTTTTTTCACAAGGGATTCTCGCCTTAGCGCCCCGCACCTGTAATTCCACATGTTTAAACACTATGGCGACTCGTTTTCAACATGGGTCGCTCGCCTGAGCGCCGCGCAAGTTCGTCTCAACGTGCTGCAACAATGTTCGAAGATGCGGGACGGTTCCATGTCAAAATGGAGCTTTCGTTCAACATTCCCCACATGTAGCGACCAAAACAAAAATGAACATGTGTAACAGCTGCACAGACGGAGGGATACTTCTTCTCAAAATGGGAGCCTCGCAGAAAAAACTACGATCGAGATGAGAGTGAAGAAGCCACCGCCATCGCCGTCATCCCCCCCCACGCGTGTGTCCGAACACTTCCGTTTATCATTGGTATTATTGGTGGCCTCGGGGGTCTATCTTGGGCCTCGTTGGGTGTTTCTTTACGGTTGTCTCCTGGGACCCTCTATGGTCATCTCGGAACCATCAGGTCGGCACATCCTGGGCATTCGTGGAAACCTCGGGGGACAAAGTTTAGGTCTTCTAGAGGTTCTTGACGGTTCTCCTGGGACCCTCTCTAAGCTTTGCGGGGCCATCCAAGAGCTGTCGGGGCCCTCTTGGGCCGTCAAAGCGCTCTCTTGGGCCGTCTTGGGATCCAGGACTCCTTGTGGAAACTCCCTTGGGCCGTGTTTAGGACCTACTGGTGCGTTCTGGTGCCATAGTGGGGTTGTCTGCTGGCGCTGTAGCGCCATGTGGGCCCGTTGGCACGCTCACTCTGAAGGATAATAGCCTGAGAACCACAGCTAACATGAACAAACTGCCTTGTCCACGCCCGGTCTATGGGCCGAAACTGGCTCAAAGAAGGCGACCGCCTACCGAGCTCGCACTAGTTAGTGTTGTATTCGTTGTCTCATCCGTTATACTTGCGCCTTCCATGCCTCGGGAAAGAAAGCATCACTCGTAGCATCTTGTGCTGCCTTGAGGCCACCACGGAATCATTCCTAAACGTTGTAGGTTTCCTTTGGGCGTTTTGGCGGCGGCCTCCTGAACCGATGGAAGCTTCTCGAAGCTGACACACGCCTGCAAGCCCCGAAAGCTCCAAAAACTCATCCCAAATCCCACCAATAAACATGGGCACTGGGAGAGGTGAGTTTGAAAAAAAGTGTTGCCCGGGGCCCGGAGACCCAAACGCCGGGCATGTATACTATTTCTGCATATCTGTATGCAACTGTCCGCCACCGTGCCTCTGGCACGACGTGGAATGCCCCAAGGCTCACAGCTGTGCTGCTTCTGTGGCCAGAACTCTAATACCTTACGGGCACAGACCATCAATTTTCCAGGCGCTCTTGGGCCAGCCTGGGCCAGCCCGCATGAGCTTTGAGGGTTCCCTGCGCCTCCTGTGGACGCCATGCCCCCCACACACACACACACACACACACACACACACACACACACACACACACACACACACACACACACACACACGAGACGACCTCACGAACCCTCCCATGTGTCCACGAAGGTCTCGACTCGCCGAACGAATGCCCCAAGACGCCTAGAATGGCCTCAAGCTGGCCCAAGAGACCTCCAAGACGCCCCAAGAGGCCTCCAAAAGGCGGCCCAACAGTTCCCAAAGAGGGAAAACCCTTCGATACCCTTAGGTTTTCGCAAGACTTTGGCGTTTTCGCCTTTTCTGCTCTCCGACGCTCCAAGACTGCTCCAAGACTGTCCGATAAACTTCTCAATCACACGGGGGGTCCAGTGGAGGGGTCATACGTGAGAACCATGTGGGACAGTCCAGGGAATTCCTATAGGGAGTCCTATGGGCGCAATGAATTGTCCGCTCCACTGCTCGCGCGCAATCATCCCACCCACCCACCCGCAACTTGGTTTGCAAAACCCATGCGGCGGCACGGGCTGGGTGCTTGGAATTGGCTGGTGCATCTCTGTGGACGCGCTAGCCCGCGCATGCTCGCGCGCGCAACGCCCAGCCAGTTTGGCGCGACCGACGCGGCCGCGGTGGCGCTGACCGCTGGGCACTTCCCAGGGAGCGCTTCAATGCGAGTCGGCAACTTGGGCGGGCGCGGTATCATGGCAACGTCGACTACGGTAGACGCGATGATAATGGTAATAGCGATTCTGGTGACGATGCTGACAACGACGACGGCCAGGCCACTGACGACGTCCAAGCTGATCACACCGACGACGATGATGGCGTCCTCGCGTCGGTGACGACGGTTTTGGAGGGAGTTCGACATGCGCGCGCGGCCGACGCGCGAAAATAACCCGCAAGGTATTATGCGGCACTGATCGTGTCCCCCCCCTAGCACGCGCGCAGGGGCGTTCGAATGAATTCCACGTGCGGCGCGAGGTGCCCGTTTGGCCGAAAGTACTGAAGGCGTTGAAGAACCTACGGCTTTCTCCAGAAATCACAGAAGCGCAAACGCAGATTTGAACACTGGTGCTGCAAAACCATGTTTTCTTCTTCGTGTTGGGGACACTCGATTTTGAAATCCCTGCGAAACGTCAGGATCTTAGAGGCATGCGCGCGCGATGACGCGCGCGCGCGTGTAGGTCGTCCTTTTTTGCGAAGGGATTCTGCGACAGCACGCGCGCAAGGGCGTTCGCGCGACTCCAATATGCGCGCAAGAGAGACCCGCTTGGTAGCAAGGTATGAACATTGAAAGCCGATGGCTTCCTTAGAACCCGCAAGAGACAGAGCGCAAGTGCTTTTATATTTGTTGTTACGAAATCATGTGCTGTATATGTTTTCGAAACACTCAATCTTCAAATCCATCCGAAACCTAACAAGTTGGTGAAAAGACTTCGGCACGCGCGCGACGACGCGCGCGCGCATTTCGTCACATTTTCTTGCAAGGGGTTCTTGAAACCGAATGGTTTGTGATAAACGAGTGCGCGCGCATTGTATAGGGGGGCGATACCGGCCTGCCTGCGATGGTACGAACTCATGTTTCAGACGGACGATGGGGCACAATCATGTGCAAACTGTCGTAAAAAAGGGGGCGGTGAGTTCCAGGATACTCTTGTCAGATAGGAAATCAGATCCCCCGGGGGAGTCCGCTGGGGGGAGTCTCATGGGGGAGCCCATTGGGGGAATCCTCTGGGGGGACTGCTGTGGGGAAGGCCCACGGGGGGTCCAAGAGGGGAGTCCTGTGGAGGAGCCCCATGGGGCGGGGGGGCGGGGGGGGCCGGCGCCCGCGGAAGCGACCGGCCCGCCGAGGCTCTGCGTGGCCCAGCCAATGCCACGAAAAAACGCGCGGGCGCGCCCGCGCGGAGGAGGAGGAGGAGGAGGAGGAGGAGGAGGAGGAGGAGGAGGAGGAGGAGGAGGAGGAGGAGGAGGAGGAGGGGGAGGAGGGGGAGGAGGAGGAGGAGGAGACCTGTGGCGGAGGACTCCCTACGGGGGAAGTCCTCTGGGGGACCCTCTGGGGGTGCCCCCATGGGGGGACCCCAACTTCGGGAGGGCCAGGTAGGGGAGCCCGCGGAACGCCCCGCGCGGCGCGAGAGGCCCCGGGCATGGCCGGGCGAGAAGTCTTTCCATGCGTTTCCGAAGTCTCGAAGTCGGGCGTCCCTGGGGAAATGTTATCAACAAAGCATCGCACATCTTTGCATAGATGTTCAACCTGCTGCGCTTCAAAACTGGCCACAACAAAAACTCACCTGCTCTGCAATGGATCACAAAAACGGTCTGCTGTGCTGCACCCGCGAGCGAGCCCCAGAAAGGTCGAGGCGAGAGGTTGCTCTTCGCGTTCTTGCTTCATGCTTGGTGTAAAAGCTTACGGCAGGTTCGTGTCGTGCCGACCCCAGCGTTGGTTTTTGACACCGCAGAGATCGTTCAACCTTGAACGATCGGCCGCTGCCGCAACGTCCGATCGTTCAACATCGATCGATTCTGGGTCGCCGGCGGCGTTCAACCTTGAACGCCCGCGCTGGGGTCGCCGCTGGTCGACACGACGCAAACCTACCGTACTTCCTGTCCCTGCGCCAGGGAAACTCGCCAACGCGCGCCGCCCGGGCGCGCTCCCTCCGGGAAGCCGGCCCCGGCGCTCCCACCGCGGGCGCGCCCCCGGCGGCCGCGCGCGCTCCCGGCGCGCGGCCGCTCCCGGCGCGCTCTCGGCGCTCCCAGCGGCGAGCGCGCTCGGCGCTCCCGGCGCGAGGCGCTCTCGGCGCCGGGAGCGCTCCCGGCGCTCCCCGGGAGGCGCAGGCCGCGCAGAGAGAGAGAGAGAGAGCGCCCCGCAGGGGGCCGCCCCCCAAGGGACCCCGCGCGGGGCCCCCCCGGGGGAAGGCTGTCCAAGGAGGCCCTCCGAGGCGCGGCTGGCCCGTCGCGCGCGGCCAGCCCGGCGTGGGCGACCCTGCGCCGCTCCGCGCTGCCCGAGTCATCGGCGAGCTGTGGGCCGCAGGGCCCCCCTGCGTGCTCAGAGGACTCCCCCATGTAACTCCCCCATGTGAAAGAAGCGTGGCTGGCATCCCGGCGCGGCGGCCGCCCCTCCTCTGCCATAGCAGAGGACAGAATCTTGCCGCGCAGAGCAGCTCCACGCTTCCAAGGCGCAGTCGCAACAACGATATTGATCGCACGCGAAAGAATTTTCAAAACTCTATATGATCAGGTGTACACGTTTGATACATTCGAACACACGTTGAAATTATAACCAGTCAAGCAACCTAACAGCGATGTGTAGAAGCATATCTGGAAGCATTCCCCTTAAGATTGAGGTGAGAATCCAGTTGTAGAATTCTGCTGTTCTCGCAGTCGCAGCCTCAGCCTGCCTCGGCTTGCCTCGGCCTCAGCCTCAGCCTGCCTCGGCCTCAGCCTCAGCCTCAGCCTGCCTCAGCCTCAGCCTCAGCCTGCCTCAGCCTCAGCCTGCATCAGCCTCAGCCTCAGCCTGCCTCAGCCGCAGCTTGCCTCAGCCTCAGCCACAGCCTCAGCCTCAGCCTCAGCCTGCCCCAGCTTCAGCCTCAGCCTCAGCCTGCCTCGGCTTGCCTCGGCCTCAGCCTCAGCCTGCCTCGGCCTCAGCCTCAGCCTCAGCCTGCCGCAGCCTCAGCCTCAGCCTGCCTCAGCCTCAGCCTGCAGCCTCAGCCTCAGCCTGCCTCAGCCTCAGCCAGCCTCAGCCAGCCACAGCCTCAGCCTGCAGCCTCAGCCTCAGCCTGCCTCAGCCTCAGCCAGCCTCAGCCTCAGCCTCAGCCTCAGCCTCAGCCTGCCTCAGCCTCAGCCTCAGCCTCAGCCGCAACTTGCCTCAGCCTCAGCCTCAGCCTGCCTCAGCTTCAGCCTCAGCCTCAGCCTCAGCCTGCCTCTTGCCTCGGCCTCAGCCTCAGCCTGCCTCGGCCTCAGCCTCAGCCTCAGCCTGCCTCAGCCTCAGCCTGCATCAGCCTCAGCCTCAGCCTGCCTCAGCCGCAGTTTGCCTCAGCCTCAGCCACAGCCTCAGCCTCAGCCTCAGCCTGCCTCAGCTCCAGCCTCAGCCTCAGCCTGCCTCGGCTTGCCTCAGCCTCAGCCTCAGCCTGCCTCGGCCTCAGCCTCAGCCTCAGCCTGCCTCAGCCTCAGCGTCAGCCTCTCAGCCTCAGCCTGCATCAGCCTCAGCC